CAAAAGTAAAGGAGAATGGGGCAGGGTAGGGTATATGATATGTTCTCTGTAGGAATAGCTACTGGAATTTCAAAATTTATTTTACTTGAAAACATGACCCTTGTAATATGCCAGATTTTATGCAGTATATTTATCTTTTTTCTATGAAATTTACCTTAATCTCCATTCCTTTCCTTAGATTAATTTATATCTTAAGATGGAAAAAAAGCCAAATAAGAAAGAACAGCTTACTCTAGTAAACAACGTATTAAAGCTGTCCACCAAGTTGTTGAAAGTAAGTCATATCCTATGATACATTCTTACTACTATTTAAATTAAATCAGCTTCTCTGGGAAAACACCAAATGATGGATGATGCCTGAGGCCAGGAGGAGGCCAGGAAGCGAAGGCTTTGGCAGTGGGCAGGAGTCTGGGGCACAAGTCGTGGTGGTTGGGGCCAGAGCTGCGGTTGCAGAGCTACTGGAGGCAAGGCTGAGGACAAAGAGTGGCTTCCCATCATCAAGTCGGGCCACCTGATCAAGGACATGAAGATCAAGTCCCCTGGAGGAGATCTGCCTCTTCTCCCTGCCCATCAATGACCAGGTTCAAGACATTTGTCACCATTAGAGATTACAGTGGCTCTGTTATCTGGGTGTTAGTGCTCCAAGGAAGTAGCCAGCGCCATCCATGGGACTATAATCATGGTCAAGTTGTCCATCGTCCCTGTGTGGGGAGGCTACTAGGAAACAAGATCGGCAAGCCCCACACTGCCCTTGCAAGGTGATTGGCTGGCTGCCGGCTCTGTGCTGGTAGCCTCATCCCTGCTTTCAGAGGCACTGGCATCACCTTGGCCCCTGTCCCCAAGAAGCTGCTGCTGATGGCTGGTAATCCACCACTGCTGCACCTCGGCCAGGGTCTGCACTGCCACCCTGGATAGCTTTGCCAACGCCACCTCGCTGCTGTCTCCGAGACCTACAGCTATCTCATCCCAAACCTCTGGAAAGAGATGTTTTTACCAGGTCTCCCTGTGGGGAATTCACTGACCGTGGCCTAAAGAGTCTCCCTGTGGGGCACCCATGCTCCAGCTGTGGCCATGTGGTGTTTTTATACCAGAAAAATTAAGTGAATCAGTTTGTTTTAAATAAATAAATTAAATCAATGCTTCTCCTCTTGGAAAAGACCCTAGTAACAGTTACTAGGCTGTATAGATTCATATGCTGACCTGATGGTTTTGGGTTAATAACTATATGAGAAAAAATTTCTGATCTTGTTACACAGATTCTGATGATTGTTGATGTGTCATATTTTTTAAATTACATCTTTTTAAACCACAACTGACATATCACTCAAATCTACCTTAAATTGCTTAGTGGAAAAGTAGGTGAGAATACATGATGGATTTTTTTTGAAGGTAGCTCTTCAATGGTAAGGAAAGACAGCCTTAAACAGTCATCTTCACTCAGGACTTAAAAACCAGCAAGACATCACTGAGTAGTTATCAAGAAAACATGTATCTCGTTTCAATTCTTTCATGTTTTTTGTAGGAGCTGGACACACCATTTAGACTCTATGGACTGACAATGAATCCCTTAATCTACAATATCACAAGAGTAGTTATCCTTTCTGCTGTCTCAGGTGTTATAAGTGATCTTCTAGGATTTAATATAAGAGTAAGTATGACCACCACTCTGTAACATCTTAGTCTTAAAAATGACTAATAATCTGTCATTTTTAAGCTCTTCACACTTTGTGTATGTGTGTGACTAGCATGGAAATAACTCTCGAGGTAAAGAAATAAGCATTTTGATTGGTGTTCCACAGGTTCTTAGCTTAGGTTTGCTCATTTACACATGTACAGTAGACTGTGCTCTTGAATGGAACAAAAAATTGTTTGAATTTCCTATCAGTTTAATAGCATGAGCCAGCTAAGGGTCTCTTACGCTGAGCTAGGGAAATGTACAGAGACAGAGTGAATGAAAACCAACACTATGTGAACTACAGTATGTTATTTTTGACTCTGGAAGTTTTTAATGTTTTTTCTCTATGATGTTCTATGGTTGCTATTGCCAGACTTGATACGTTCTCCTCTTGGTTCATAGTCATGTATGTGTACCTAGAAATCCCACCTGTTTGTCTAAAAACTCACTTATTTTGGTGATTTTCTTTTCTTAGCTGTGGAAAATTAAATCATAAGCTGAGTTAAAAGCCTGAACTCTCCCCCGGCTGGCATCAATACTTACCCATTAAGGAAGGAGATGACAGCGGAAACCAGTGCGATACCCACCTGCTTGTTCACGTGCACAGGTGTTCTCAGCTCTGCCAAATCTAAAGAATGTTGTTTCCAGAGGAACAAGTCCTTTTTCCAACTGGGTGTGCATGCTAAAAATCTGTATTCTCATGGTTTTCAAACAATATGAATAGTCAGACTAAAGACTGTGTTACAGTAACACAAGGACAATTTTCTAAGTTAGGAAATTTATTCTGGGTACTTCAGTACTGTGACAGTTATATTTACTGGAAATAGTCTTTTGGGTAACTTTGGTAGATGCCCAACGCATAAAGCAAATATCTTTTATTGGGAATATGCAAATTCAGTACTTTTCTATTACAGTCTATGGAATTGGACATTTCATTTCTCTATCAAAGAGAGACCAAACAAACTATTTTAGGTTGAATGCAAATAAAAGAACTTTACTAGGAAATTTCAGTTTCTAGGCTTTTTTTTTGTTGTTGAAGAAAAAAAATAACTTTTAAACTGTGAGTTTCCATTAAACTGTGGAGAAATTTTTAATTAGTTTATAATTTTGAATTAATTCTAATAACTGTGTTGTTGGTGAAAGAGTCATGCATATAATATGCTATGTAATTCAGCATGAAAAATTTAAGTATATGCCTATTCGTGCATGCCCGTCATACAACATGGTTTCCATATAGATCTTCTGAGCTGTGTTTCCTAACACAAGCATCGTTAATAGTGTGTCGGTTGTGCGTCTTAATTTATTCAATCCTCAGTACATTTTCAGGTCCTCAGTGTCTATAATCAGCCATCCCATGCCTTCGATGATGTAGGTTCTCTTATCAGCATCCCCTGTTACAAATACACGTGTATACATATGTTAATGAAAACTCTAGTAGTCTACATATAATTCTTGCTCATTAAGTTATCTGCTTTGAAGAATCTCTTGAGACAAATTGAAAGCCTGAATGTTTTAATGATAAGATTTTGTGAATTTTCAAATGAAAATAATTTAGAAACTTGGTTATCACATATAAAGCATGTACTTGTTCAGAATCAGAGTATCAGTTACACATATTCTAATAAGCAGGATTGTTTTGAGTTTCAAAGATGTATTTCTCAAAAGTCCAGGGATTGACTTCAGACCTGTCTGAGTTCAGGTCCTTGACCCTGCCACTTATTAGCTTCATAGTCTGGGGCAAGTTAACCTCTTTGTGTTTCCATTTCCTCACCAGTTAAATGGGGATAATAACTATATAGTAGAGTTATTAAGATTAAATGAGGTTATCCTGTAAGTTATTTGCACAGTGTAAAGTATTTAGCACTTAATAAATCCCCACAATAAACATTTATTATTACTATTTGAAGTCCTTCAAAAATCTTACTGATAGATTCCTAACTGTGAAGATAGGAACATAGGAAGCAAGTTTGCCAAACTAGAAGTGGATAACCAAAAATATGTAGCTATTCTAAGTGCTGCATGAGTGATAATTTTTTTTAATGATAAAGCTCCATTAATAGCGATGTATCCTTCTACCTTTAGAAGGAACTGCTCGCTAGAAGCATGTCAAGTTTCTCAGCAGATGGCTCATAGAAACCATGCTTTCGCTATTTTCCATAAGGAATAATAACAATGCTCTCAAATCCAAAGTTGAGCTTAATGTAGATTTCAAATGAAGAAAGCTGATGCCTTCATCTTTCTCCTACAAAAAAATGTTGTTCTATTTTTATTGGCAACTTTTACACAGTGAAATCTTAGTTTAAATGCAGTATTTAGAATGTACTAATTTACTCTTGTGGGTTGCTTCAGCTGTGGTTTTGATGGTGTATAATTGGTTTAAATTATTTTTCATATGGGTAAAATTATATGTAAATATAGTTGATCATGTCAGAAACTTGGGAATCATTCTTGACTCATTCCTTTTCCTCATACTCCCAATCCAACCAATCACCAAGTCTTTGAGTAATTATCTTCTAGACAGCTTCCTAATTAATCCACTCTTCTCCATTCCTACTGCTACCACCCTAATTAAGTCAACATCCTTTGTTTTTTGAGCAAGTTTCTGCTGCTTCAGCCCTTACATATGCATTACCCCCTTTTCCCTCCAGGCTCAATTCATTAGTCTCAAAAAGGTAATGTATTTTCTCAAATGGAAGTCATCATTTAGAATCCATTAGTGGCTTATTAGCACTTTGAAGGTAAAAATCGAAGATCCTTTTAGCAAGGTGTATAGGCCCACCTTTTTGAGAAAGGTTTTTGAATCTTTATATTTGAAAGATACTTTTGCTAGGTATAAAATTATACGTTTAAAGATGCAGTTGCTCCCCTACCTACTGGATTGCATCGTTTTGACAAGAGGTCTGTTGTCACTCTTATCTTTATTCCTCTCTGTGTGTTATCTTTTTTAAAAAAAACTCTGGCTGCTTTTAAGATTTTTATCTTTATCATTGAATTTGTGCAATTTAATTATGGTATGCATTGGTATAGTTTTCTTCTGTTTTTTGTGCTCGGAGTTTGCTGAACTCATTAGATCTGTGGGCTTATAGCTTTCTGATTATTTTATATATAGTTTTTTCACATTATCAAATTGGAAAAAAAATTGGTTATTAAGATAACTTTTCTGTACTCCACTCTCACCCACCTCCTTCTGGGACTCAAATTTACATGTATATTAGCCTGCTTGAAGCTCACTGATGCTCCATACATTATCCCAGTCTTCTTTAATTTTGGATGGTTTCTATTGCTTTGCCTCCAGGTTCACTAATTTATTCTTTTGCACTAATTTGCTGTTAATTTCATCCAATGTAATTTTTCATCTCTAGAACTTTGATTTTGGTCTTTTTTATCTTCCATGTCTCTCCTTAACA